CCACCAAGCTGAGATTCAGCTATTTTGGTGTATCTGAATCCAGATTCAGAATCTCAATCAGCTGGATTTGACTCCAATAAAGACAAGTCCTTGTTCTTCACTCACCTTCCCCACCCCATATACAACAACCCTCCTCCTTTAATCAATTCAACAATGCATCCAAAAGCCTCATCTTGGACTCATCGTGCTCCTAATTCTCAATTGATTCAAATCAAAATTCTTCTTCTGTTGATTTGAATCAATTGATTTGAATCAAATTTGTTCTTCTGGTAAGTTGAATCTCAATTGCAAAATTTTGCTCTGTTGTTTTGGATCAATCTTGATCTATCAAATCAATGTATTCATCTTGACTGATCTTGAGTAGCCTTATTTAAATTGGGTGATAGGTGGTGATAATGTGCTGATGGTGGGTCAATTGTGTCCGTCAGGACTCAGGATGTGTGCCCAGTGATGACCGGAACAAACAGTCATTGGTCATCACAAGATTTTGTCTCTTGATGCCTGTTTGTTCTGGCCATCAAGAGCTTCTTTTGATGACCGGAGCAAACGGTGCAAGACTCAAAAAGTGGTTTTAAGACCCTTTTTGCTGAATGGAGAAGGGGATGGTGGAGGTGCAAGCTCTTCCCTTCTATACTATCAGATAACAAGACCCACCAAGCTCAGCTTGGCAAGTTTTAATCAAGTGATAGGGAAGTTCAGGAATGAGTTTGTGTGATGCTGAGAAATGAGTTTAGTTTTTATTGGTGTTTGGTAAGGTTCTGTAAAGGTGGTGTATCTTTGATTGAGTGGTACTAAACTGTGACTGATGAATAATACACTGAGGAGACAACAACTGGGAGGAGAGCCTCCTTATATAGAAAATAGTGAGGGAACTGAGCTCCAGGGCAGCCAGTAATGAGTGATTTTGACTGGCCTGGGCTATTACATGAGGGTGTTTAGCTACATACATAAGTTGAATGAGTGAAGGTGATTGGTCAGACATGTACAAGAGTTAGAGCATCTCCACCGCAGTCCCTAAATTGGGTCCCTATCCCACATTTAGGGCTCACGGCCCAAAAAACGCCACCCACCGTGGTCCCCATTGGCGTCTGTATTTTACGGATTTCATCCTTGGTCCCTCTCCAGACCCTGGATCCAGGGATTGGATAGGGACCAAGGACTGTACACATCAATGTGAATGTCACACAACATCACACCTCAACCTAGTGTGACAGCCTGTCAACACTACACCAATACCGGTGATTTAAAGACTGCCCGGTCTGGCATAACAGGGTTCCGAGTCCCTACACACATTCGCAAGTCCGTATTTTTGATTGATAGGGACCCAAAAATACGGACCACGGTGGAGATGCTCTTAAAGTGGTGATCCAAACAGTTGAAAGAGTGATTCTGATTGGTCAGGTTATGGGGTGTTTACAAGTAAATGTGGTGGTACCACCTGCAGCTGTCATGCAAGGAAAATACACTAATTTAGACTGCATGCATGAGTTATGTAATATGTAGAAGTGAAATGTAAGGAGTGTAGATGTATGTAAATGAGTGTATTTGTAAATGGGGGGTTGTACTGTACTGAGGGTGTCTGTGTAGCTTGAGGGTTGTAATTGAGATTGGTGACATGTACTGATGGATGAAATCCTTGTGATATGTTGTCCACTGTTGGGTAGTTGTTGATCCAAGTGTGTTCCAGTGACGCCTCTGTGGTGACCAAGGGTGAATTTATCCGTAGAGTCCAGTTCTTGAGCCGTATGGTGTGATTTCTGATGGATACTGGATGATAACATGAAGAAAATATATATATAAGAAAAGAAAGAAAAAAAATTGAATTTTCTCATCTTTGACTACCACAACAGACATCAAGAGCTGTTCTTGATGACTGTTTGTTCCAGTCTTTATGTAAGAGGTTGTTGGACCTGTCCAGTCAGCCCCAGAGCTGAGATTTCAGCTACATAGACAACCAAACAGTCATGATCCCCAGGATCTGGGTCTCCAGCCTCATGGGTTCAGATACCATGGCATGTTTGGCTGCCATGGTGCATCCCACTGAGATCAGAATCTGCCCGTGGGCAGATTGTGATCTCCCAAATTTGAGATTCAAGCCCTCCCGCATCCGACCAGGCCCTAAGGAAGGTTTACCCTGATCCATGATCTGTGAAATTTAAAGGTTTTACTTCATGTGTGCTTGGGGTGATGAAATTGGACCCAGGGTCTAATAGTAATACCGTGGCTTCAAAATTTTATGAAGTTATTGATGATAATCATGAAACTCCAGATACAAAAGCTCATTTGGATACAGGGCAACCAACCAAAATCCCTGTTTTTACCAAAAACCTTACTTGATTATTAATGAAGGATTTTCAGAATTATCTCTCAAGACACTTCCATCTGGAAACAAAGAAGTAAATCCTAGTATCTTTCCCCCTTTTTGGTTGGCTGAATGATGATCCTGAAACAGGCTGTTCAATTTCACAAAAACTACATTCAGAAGAAAAATCCAAATTCATTGGCACTGATATTCATCTGAAATATAAATCAAGAGAAAAATTCATATAGTGACTATGGGAATGCAGATGATAAAACATTGCAATTTGGAGGTTAACCCAACACTGCAAAAAAGTACAATACATAGTTTGTATCATGAGGGATCAAACCAACATATATGGCAAAGAGCCAGATTAAAGAAATAAGACTCTCAATAGAACCACATTGGTCATGAAAAAAATACATCAAGACCATGATACATGAAACAATACATGCCAATACATTGCATATACCATATTTGTTGCAGCATTGATAATCCACATCGGATAATTACAACCACAAGGATACATCCAAATTTACCTCTGCTATAACAGATGTGAGTAATGTATGACACCTGACCTAGGCACAGAAGGAAGGTGACGGGGTCCATGTGCACGAGTAAGATTGGCCTGAGGCAGGCACAGAATAATCCCTGTCTAGTCCAAAACAAGATAGGGATTATTCCATGCCGTTGAAAGTATCTGTAGCTTTATAGACCTAGTATCGCACAGCTAGAAGAACTTTCTCCCGCCACTCCTTCAATCATCTCCAAATCTTACTTATCATCTTCCTGGAAACTTTCTACATACACAAATTTTCATATAAAAATTTTTCTCGAATCAAACAACTATTCTTAATAACTCTCACTAATAACCAACTATCGCTGCTTAATAACTCTCACTAACAACCAAACCACCGCTATCATCATCCCTACAACTATCGCTGCTTAATAACTCTCACTAACAACCAAACCACCGCTATCATCATCCCTACACAATGGTCAACGAGAAGATCTCTGCCCTCCAGGTAGAAGAGAAGGATCAAGGCTAAATACAAAACGGCTTTCTTAGGTAATCAGCCTTGTGAAAACCAGGGGAGGCAGGGGTTTCCGGCTCAACTATGGATTAATATGTTGAGCTCAAGGAAATATTCCCTTGGAAGATCAAGAGTTCTCTGGAGTGAAATTCCCACTAGTCTATGTATCACACCAAAAAGTATCTTGATGAGGCAATGGTACACCATTATCATGGCACAACTACTTCAAAACTGTTTGCTATTAGCTGACACCTAGCAATGGCCTTTTTGCTGCTTGCACTTAGTCACAAGTCATTTTGAAATTCCCAACCAT